TCTCTCTCTCTCTCTCTCTCTCTCTCTCTCTCTCCTCTCTCTCTCTTCTTTTCTCTCTCTCTCTCTTCTCTCTCTCTCTCTCTCTCTCTCTCTTCTCTCCCTCTCTTCTTTTCTCTCTCTCTCTTCTTCTCTTTCTCTCTCTCTTCTTTTCTCTCTCTCTCTCTCTCTCTCTCTCTCTCTTCTCTCCCTCTCTTCTTTTCTCTCTCTCTCTTCTTCTTTTCTCTCTCTCTCTCTCTCTCTCTCTCTCTCTCTCTCTGGCGAGCCGAGCCTTCTCTGATGTGTTGCCAAACAGGTTCTTCGGTTTGGCTCTGGGGGCTGGCAGGGCACAGTCAGCCCTGCAAGCTGACTCGGTCTGCAGGCGCCACTGACTCGGGGAGTGCATCTGCAGCTGTGTGGCAGGTGGGGGTGAGGGTTGGGGAACGAGCCGGACGGAGCCAGCCGCGAGGTTTTAAGAGATGCCCAGTTAGGGTTGGCATGGAAGGTGGCGGAGAGGAGGCAGGGGGAGGGCGGCTCAGCTGCCCCCGAGGAGCAAGGAATTTGGGGGAAGGTGGTGGTGGGGGGAGCAGGGAGTAGACAGAGGTGCCTGTAACTGTCGGTGATGTTCTCCTCTTGTCTCCTTCCCGTGCTCTTTCTCGTCTTAGTTTCCAGCAGGGCCGCGTTCTTTACATCAGCAGGTACTAACCTTTCTCCGCTTGCCTCACTGCATGCTGGATGCCATCCCAGGGGGGAGGGCGCCCTTCGGATCGGGGGGTCGTGCTTGGACACTGCAGGGCAACGGACTGCAGGGCTGGAGGGGCCCCCGAGGGGATGAGGGTGAAGCCTCCAAGTTCAGACCCCTTGCAGGTCCCCTGTGAGCTCCCTTACAGGAAGTTTTCCCCCCTCTTCCACTCTCCACCTCCCCCCAGCCCCCCATTTTTTAAGAGAGAAATGATAATACAGGTAGTTCTCGACTTAACGACCCAATTGAGCCCCAGATTTCCGTTGCTGAGCAAGACGGTTGTTCGGTAAGTCTTGACCCACCCACTTCATTTTACAACCTTTCTGGCCATAGTTCTTAAGTCAGTGGGCCGCAGGTGTTAACTAACACGGTTGTTAAGTGAATCCGGCTCCCCAGATTTGACTTCGTTCCTCCAAAAGCTGCAAACACCCTCCCCCCCCCGGGATGTTGCGACCGTTGTAAATATGAGCCAGTCGCCAAGTGTCCGAATGTTGATCACGTAACATGGGGGTGGCTGCAGCGGTCATAAGGGGGAAAACAGGTCAGAAGTCCCTTCCCTTCCCTCTCTTTCCCCCCCACCCCCAGGTGCCGTCGTAACTTCGGACGGTCGCCCAACACAATGGTTGTAATTCAAGGACTACCTGTACTATTCCCCCCCCCCCCTTTTCAACCCAGGTTTGGATTACGATGATTATAAGGGGCCTTTTGGACTCGCCGCTTTAAAGGCATTTGAAAGGGGGATCCGATCGTATTGTGTATTACCTAAAGCCCTTTTTAATAAGCCTGCAGGGAAGAGAGATTGTTGGGGTAGGGGGGAAAAATGGGATAGGGGGTCCATGGAGTCCGAAAAACACACGAAAACCTGGAAAAGAGAACCCGTAGCTTGGGGCAGGCGTGCGAGGGTCATTTTTCCCCTGGTTGTGGTTAGGGCCAGTTTGACTGCAGTGTCCACGCTTCCCCACTTCCCTTGTGACTTGCATGGCCTCTGACTCATGAAAGTGCTTCTCTGTCACTGTTTCTCATTTTGCTCCGCTCCTGCTGTCTGGCTTCTCCGTTTGATGCCCCTTCTCCTCCTCCTCCTCCTCCCTCCCTTTCCCTCGAAGACGCTTCCGGGCCTCTCCCGGGATTGGTGGCGACATCCTTCTCTTCTCCCTTTCTCCCCGTCCTTCCCTTTCAGTGTGTTGCACGTCTTCCAGACTCCGTTCACCGCCTCTCTTACGTTTCTTGGCAGACTGCCCGCAGGCTCCCCAGGAGAGGGCTGCGTCCTCCATTGTCCCCCCCAATATAGTCACCCCCTACACCAATACCGGGAGGGCGGGTGGGTGGCCTCCGTCCCTCGGTCACATCCGGTTGTCCGAGAGCTTGCTTGGTTGGGAACGAAGCCTTGAGGGGAATGTCAGGTTTCATCCTGTCGCCTTAGGCTGGGGATGTGGGAATTGAGCTGGTGTTAACCTAGGTAAGGTCTCGGCAGCGGGATTGGAAACACGGTTCCCGGGTGATGAGGTGGCGTGTTCTCCTCAATCTGCTTGTTTTTTTTTTTTTTTTAAATTACCCTCAATTTATTTATGCTTACTTGGGCAATCTTTTAAAAAACTGCCAGCTCCGAATCTTCTGGCTGGTTTATCTAGGGCAGTGATGGTGAACCTTTTTGGCAACGAGTGCCCAAACTGGAATGCGCACACATGGGCGTGTGCCGAGTGCCGGAAACCCGAAGACCAGCTGGCTGGTGCGCATGCCTGGTTTTTTTGGCCGTTTGGGGGTCATTTTTAGGCCATTTTTCGTGTCATTTTGGGCCGTTTTCTGGACTGTTTTCAGGCTGTTTGGGGGTCATTTTCAGTCTGTTTTTGGGGGTCCTTTTCAGGCTGTTTTGGGGCTGTTTTCAGGCTGTTTTTTGGCCAGCAAAAGGCCAGAAAAACCCCTTGTTTTTTTGGCCAATTTTTTGGGCCATTTTCCAGTGCTCCGGCACCCGCAAAGACCAGCTAGCCGGTGCGCAAGTGTGTGCCGTAAACCAGAAGAGCGTTCATGATGCCGTTCGTGCCCACAGAAATGGCTCTGCGTGCCACCTCTGGCACACGTGAACACCGGTTCACCATCCTGGATCTAGGCATTCAACCCCCACGTTTTGTTTCTAAAACTTCACCAACATGGTGAATGAATAGGATTGTTACCTTCACACCCCGAAGTGGGTGGTCTTGTTTTGTCTGAGCAAAGCTGCCACTTCTGGAGCTGGCTTTCCAGGTGCAGTTTGATTGAATTCAGGAAGAACTAGAAGCCTTGATCCTCGGTGTGAAACCTCTGAGTCAGATCAAAGCTTCCAGGTGTCTTTCATGCTGGTCCATCCAGTCTCCGTGGAGAGATTGGGATATGAACGAGGAAGTCCAGTCCGTATATTATTACTACAGCCATCTCAGTCAGTGATCATAGGAAGCCACAATCTCTTAGCATCTGTCACGCAGGGTGGATGATCCTGGCCTAAATCTAATGTTAACCACTAGCAAGCTTTGAAAATTGGGTGCTTTGTGTCTCTGCTTTTAAGAGTCTGTCTCCCAGTCTGGCATCTCTCCAGGCGTGTTGGATGAAAGATCAGGCTGACGTCAGGATTCTGGGAGTTGAAGTCTTCCCACAATCGTCAGAGGGATGGGAACTAAGGAGGAGAGCTAACGACAGATCGTCCTCGACTTAACAACAGTTCATTTAATGACCGTTTGAAGTTGCAACAGCACTGGGGGAAAAAAAGGGCCATTTTCCACACGGCGGTTGCAGCATCTCCCATGGTCACACGATTGACATTTGGATGCTTGACCAGTGGTTCGTATTTATGACGGTTGCAGTATCCTGGGATTATGTGATCCCCTTTTTGCGACCTTCTCAAAAGCCAAATCAATGCGGAGGTCAGATTCATTTAGCAACTGGGTTACTAACTTAATAATTACAGTGATTCACTTACTCAGCGTGGCAAGAAAAGTCATAAAAAGAAATTTCCTGCTTACCAACAGAAATTTTGGGCTCGCTTGGTGGTCGTAAGTTGAGGATTACCTGTATTTCATCGCACTTTCTGTCCTTCCTTTCAGCTTTGGGGAAAACGATCAGTTCCAGTAGATAACTTCTAATAGTCATCACCCTCCTTAACGCGAAATCGTAATGCTCATTGTTGCTGTTCACAGTTCCCCACTGGGCTGGTCATTAGACATGGCCTCTCCATGCTCAGAATCCAAAAGAATCCCATAGGAAATTTGCAAAGGGCACCTGGGGAGGGTCCGAAGGAAGGATGATGCCCACCACACCTGTGCCCAGTGAGAACTTGAGGCTCGGGGCAGAATTACGATACAGAATGTTGCACAGTGAGACCCATGGCGAGTGGCTTCGAAGAGTGCGGCCCTTGTTAGAGCTATAAGTGCTGATTGAGCACCGATGACTGGATTTGTCACGGACTACCCTCAACTGCCTTCTTGATCTTGGGAGTTCAAATTGTCTCTTGGGCTTGGGACAGGGTTTTGCAACCTTGGTGACTTTAAGAGAGGTGGACCTCAACTCCCAGAATTTCCCAGCCAGCACTGGCTGGGGAATTCTGGGAGTTGAAGGCCACTTGTCTTAAAATGTATTTATTTTATTTGGTTTGTCAATTGCTTACAAGATAATAGGGACAAGTAAAAACATAGTTATGAATAAATGGATACATACAAGAAAAAGAAACAATAGGACAGGGACGGTAGGCACCCTGGCTTAGTGCTTTCCCTTGGCTAATTCCCAAGCCTGTGATCTCCTTTTTTTTGTTTTTTTGTAAACTCTGGGTCGTTCTGTAGACATTCTCCCATAGCTTTGCAAAAGCCAGCGGGTGGCAGTTCCATCGATGCTCCTTTTACGGTCCTAAGCCCCATTCTTCTTCTTCCTCATACACAGATATTCCCCCTTTGCAGCTTAATGCTTTTGGAGACTTAGGTAATGACATTCTAAGGCCAAACTTCAGTGCGCGGACTGCCACTGTGTCCGCAGGGCAGAAACCAAGCCACGCAAATAAGGG